GATTTTTAGAGGAAGAGTCCTTACTGTCTGGTGAGCTCTTCACAAGACTTCTTATTCTTATTATTACAGATCCTTTTTTTTTATTTGCCGATCATCTTAATATTGAGTAATTAATTTGAGATTCAGTGTATTTAGTTTAAAAGAATAATATTAGACTTTTTATGAAATAGGAATTCAGGGCTATTCAAATAGAAAATTCATTGATATTTAAAAATCTTTTATTTTTTAATACATAAATTGTTTAATAATAACTGGAAAATATAACTGTTTTTAAGCTATATGCAGTATACTTATCTGTAGCCATTTCGATAAATTTTAATAATATTAATTTATTATAATAGAAACTAAATTTAATCGGTTATAAATACATGCTATGTTCTATCAAAGTTTTTGCTAATCCTTACAAAATATTGTTTTATATACTACATAGTAATGCCCATACAAAACTAAAGTACATACACATGTCTACAATTATTTGACTACAAATTTTACAAATTTTTCTATATTAGACTACAAATTTTTAATATCTAATTTTGCTTTAGAATTTGTTTAAAAAATTAACTTTGTTTGAAAATATTTTTGAAATATTTTTTATTTATTGTACTTATATATATATATATATAATGTAATTCCTATATCTAATGCCATTGAAATTTGAAATTTTAATTTGATATAATAAGTCTTCATTTGTATATTTATTTTTTCATTAAGTAGCAAGAATATTTGTTTTTAATTATAATAAATAAACATTTGACAAATGAAACAAATACAAATTTTCTATTTTCCATGAAACATATATTCTCAACAATTTCGTTTTCTTATGAATTTTAACTTCATTATAAAAAATATTAATAATATTAAGTAATATTAAGTAATATATATATATATATATATATATATATATATATATATATATATTTCTACACACTACGTTATATAATATTATATAATATTATATAATACATCCATATTTGAAGAGAAGTAAATTCATTGTATTACTTAGTATAAACATGATTTTATGTAATAATGTATAACTATGTGTCAAATAATTAAATATTCAAACTGGATCCTTTGAGCAGGATTTTATATTATTAAATATTCATGTTTGTTACAATGATATATCACACTTATTATATTTTACAATGATATCTTCCTTTATACAATAGTTGAGAGTATTTAAATAATTTGAACTATATATTTAGCAGCTAATCTGTTTGATAATTTATAATAATAATTACATGTACTATCAGTAAAATAATATGATTCTTAATTGTTAATTATAGAATATAAAATATTTTAAATATAAAAACGTGTGATCGATAAATTAAAATATTAAAATATACGCTTGTTACTTAATATAATCTTATTTAAATGAAAAATATATTTTTGAATATATGCTTCCACAATTTTGAAAGAAAAATCTTAGTATTTATATTTTCAAAACTAACATTATTTTAATATTCATGCAAAGTTGAAATTTTTATATTAATAATAATTTTTATAACTATTAAATATGTATATGTATAATGAAGCATTGTAATGTTTTTATAAATATTTACGAACTTTATTTTATAATATTTTCAATTCATTTTGAAAGACCTGTAATTAATAATTCGCATAAAACAAAATTAATTTATTGAAATTAGTATATCATTTACTATTTTTATTAACAATTTTTATCATTTTCTTACTTTTAAAAATTATAGAAAAATGAAGAACCTAATTGTATTATTCGTTGTATTCCTACTGGGAGTTGCATTTACCAGTCCTGTTGAAAAATTAAACGAAAAAGTCAGCATTATTGAGCAGCAGACATTAACACCGTCAAATGATCGCAATAAATACGAAGAAGAATTATTAAATAAGCTGAATGTCAAGTGTTCGCAAAATGATTTATGCAGCTGCATCACATTCAAACTTGTTACTTATATGAACAAACTTCTGAAAAAGACTTCGATCGAGTTGACAGATGACATTGAAATTCGTAAAACCAGTCAGGTGACGGAGGAAGTTCCAAACTACCAGTCAGCTGGACGTAGTAGTCAAGACGATGAAACGGAGGTTTTAGATTTAATTGCTGGCAAGGTATTTGCTTTCATTAAATCGCGCAGCATCAAGTGGAGGTTCTTACCTGAAGATGATGTCGTTGTTTCGGCTAAAGAGGATGCTAGCGGATCTCTCAACCTTGGATTGTCAATCGAGCGATCTGAAAATGCCGTTCAAGATGGTAATTATGCTTATATGCTTTTACAATTTTAAAGAGCAAAACAATAGATAGGTTATTTTATAGAAAACATTGCCCGAACAATTTAGAAAGAATGAAAAATTTATAGCTTTAAATAAATTAAAAATTTTTATATTTGGAAATATGTTATAAATTTGATCAAATTTTCTTATTTTCTTTAAGTTTTTTCTTTAAAAAAGAAAAAAGTAAGTCTACCGTTAGCATGAAATACCCAATTGTCATAATATGTTCATTATTTCAGTTATTATTGAGAAAATTAAACATAACTTATAGAATACTTTTCTGAAGTCATAAAATGTAATATATATATAATTATAAAATAGAAAGTCAAAGGTAGTGAAAGCTTATTTTTACTTAAAAAAATTTAATTAATCTTATATCAATTGACATATATATAATGCTTGTGCCAATTATTTCTTATTGTATCATCTTAATATCGTAATAATATGATTATAAATTAATCCTAAATAAAAATATTAAACTAAATAAAAAACGTTGTCTAAACTAATAAAGACATATTCTTGATTTTTTCACGACACAATTTGTTATAAATATTAAACAGACTATAAAACTAAAAATTTCTATCTATTCTCAATTTATAATAATCAGTTATAGAAATTTAACATTATCAAAATTTATTATATTTGACTACGAAAATCAATGTTTTATATTTTATATTAAATTTATTTTTAAAATTGGAAATACTTTATTAAGAATTGTCTAAAATTCATTTATGTTTGATAAAACAGAATTACATATATAATCTTTTGCATTTTTTAATTTATTTTTGAAAATGTTTATTAATGAAACATGTTAATAGTGTATCTCTAATTTGTATGTTAAATAATAAATAAGTAACATTTATTATTTTTTCAGATAGTTAAAAGAAATTATTTTTATAAAAATCATTCGACATGATCAGATATGATTTACTATGTGCGAAGAAATTTATCCTTATTCAGTAGTAAAATGAAAAATATAACGATATTAAACTATAAAAGATATCTATTTATTATATATAAAATATATTTTAAATATTTTTTTCTTTAAAAATTTCAGTAAATATTGCAATTTAATTTGATTAATATTATTATGAGTGCATTAGATAACTAATTAAATTCCATTTGATTCAACTTTCTTTTCGCTACTATGTTATCGGTTTTATATTTTTGTCCTCATTATAATTAGTACTTAAAAGGACTTTTTGAAATAACACAAAACATAGAAATTATGATCATATACAATTATGTTACTGTTATATGCACTGCTATTTATTTTAATTTATCAATGGCAACGAATTTTTTATTATATTATACACAATAAAATATTGTAGAGTTAGTATTTTTGACGTTTATAGAATAGTGTTTTACATATACAATAGAAAATATTCAAATAAATAATCGGAGAGGGTGAAAGTTAGATAATTTTGAAACACTGTTACATTTATCCCAATACATGTAATTCTCTAAAACCATTAGAGCATAATGAAAACACGATATATATAATTATTGTTTCAGGTCGCGGCAAGAAGAATAACATGGGTCCACTTTTGGCTGCAGCCGTTTTGAAAATTGGTTTAATTGGAGGATTAGCATTCAAAGGATTAGCTCTTCTAGTTGGAAAAGCTCTGCTCCTTTCAAAGATCGCTCTTCTTCTTGCCGGTATAATTGGTTTGAAGAAATTATTTTCTCAACAGAAGCACGTGACGTATGAAGTAGTCGCTCATCCACATCACGCTGCTAGTCACACCATTGAAAGTCATGGTCACGGTGACTATTCGGGTGGTTGGGCAAGGAATTTCCAGAAACACCAATCCGAAGCTGCTCAACAAATGGCGTACTCATCACATGTACCCCAGTGAGATGCTTAAATATATTATAGTACTAGATTAAGAGAGAGAGAGAGAGAGAGAGAGAGAGAGAATAGAGAGAGAATAGAGAGCGAGATAGAGAGAGAGAGAGAGCGAGATAGAGAGAGATAGAGAGAGAGAGAGAGAGAGAGAACATAATGTTGTGTATAAGAAATCAATTAGGATTTCGAATGAAACGAATGAGGCCAGTTTCTAATGACATTATGAAATGGATCTTTCAAATGATTCAAGATTTTTTCTATGAAATATTATTTGAACTGAAAGAGAATCAGGTTAATCGGGTGTGTTCGTATAAGGAATTAGGAAACAAATAATCTTACACATAGATCAACCATCAATAGTATGCTCTATTAACCTTATTCCTTGTGAATCAAAAAGACAATAATTTTCTGCAAATTAATTACATTTATTTTGTATAATATCAAAACACTTTCTTCAATTTTTATATGCTACTCTTAAAGTTTTATTTAAACAAAACTTATAATTTGTTAATTCGGAATCCAATAGATTTTTTAAAATATCTGGAAAAAAATTTATATACATCGTTATCCTAGGAAAAAAGATTTAAACATTGACGTTTCTCTCTCATAGTCTCATACTATAAATTAATGCTTTTCCTACAGTTCATGAGCTTAATTTAAGTCAATCTTCTTTCTCCCACTCAAATTAGTTTTAAGCAAACAAAATCCGTCCCTCTTTTAGAACTCATTGCTATTGTTTAACCCCAACTTTGATTAACCCCGACTTTGATTTTCCCACAGTAAAAGAAAACCAAACACTTGACTCGACGCATTTGACTTAAATGTATGTGTTTTAAGTACTTGTACTTATTAACTGTTTCGAATATAATGAAGATTACCTTTCCTATAATCTCAAATACATAAAAACTTCTACGTTTTTATTTCTGACAATAATACGGGTCAACGCAATTTTCATACTTATATGTGGATACATATATTATATACGGATATATACTTTTCATAGAATACTACTCAAATTATTGACTTGATGTTATTTAAGTATTCTATTTAAATAACTGATACAAAGTTGAAGAGTTCAACTATTTGCAAGCCCTTAAAAGATAGCGAAGGTGTATTTTGGATTAAGCGGAAATTTGTAAAATATTTATGTATATACACATAAAGCGTATAAATACATACACACACACACACACATATATGTATGACGATGCTTTAACGGTTAACGGATACATTACTACACCACGGACGCTAACTACTATTTCACGAGAAGTTGTGCGTAAGGAAGGCACGCACTTGTCCCACTTTCACGCCAGGAACCGAGAAAAAAGTAAATTAAGACGAAAAAAAAGAAGCAGGAGAGAAACTGGTCCGATCAAGGTCACTATCTTATACCATTGACGTCACATATACTCACAAATACGTAGGACTAGACTAGACAGGAAATTGACTTTAATCCAGAGAAACCACCTAATTACTTATTTTTCATTTCAGATTTAATATCGAAGTTTTTTTGACTAAATCAAATAACAAACTATATTATAACAGACCAACATATACAATTTTGCCTATTAATTCATTATTTTCAATTTCTTTACATTTTCTATTCTACCCTCTTCAAGTGTTTCCACGTGAAATTTTTGTCTAATATTATTAACTAAAAACAATAAATTTTTTAAAAATTAGGTTAGATAATATTATTCCTATTTCTATTATTTATTATATTATTGTATATTTAATTTATTTATCTCTGATTGATGAGAGAAAATGATTGTATTATAACGTGTTACTGTTGCCTAATGCGAGAATAAATATTTATTGTTTTGTATAAATCGTTGTTTTTAATATTTCTCCTTTCAATTAACTCTATTTCTAATTTATAGCAAAAACTGATAAATTATCAAACTGTTTTATAGCAGTGACATAAAGTAACATAATTAATTTTAATTACAAGATATTAGTATTAAATGAATTATTTCATTTAAGAAAACTTTGTTTTATTATATATTATTAGTTAAAAGTTGCATGAAAACATTTAATCATTTGATTAGTAAATTAGAGCTCGAACATAATGCTATTTTAGTAATTATTATGATTTTCACAACCGTAAAGGAAATAGATTTACACAAAGTAGAGATAATTTATATTATTTGTAACTCTAATTACATTTGAAAGTAGAAAACTAGTATAATTTTATATTTCGTGGCTATAGTTATACAGGTTGCAGTACATTAAATAATTTTTTTTTCAAATCTATCTTTATCGTAATTCCTATGTATATTGTAGCAAATTATGAAATGTCATTTAAAACTTGTCGTATGGAATATAACAATAAAAATTTTTATAATTTAATTAGTATTTCAATTTCTTTGCTTTTCAATTCGAAATTTTAGAAACCAAATAATAATTACTTTCACATTAAAAAGTAATAATTAGTAAATAAAATTACCGTTCAATAATATTATATTTTTTTTAATTATTTTTTAATTTATTTCAATATTTATAACCTAAAAATCCTTTGTAATATGTTAAATATTTTGTTTATTATAATTTGTAATATTATTATTGTTTATGTCCGAAAGTATTAAACAATTATATTTTTATAACGATGCCGAAATAAAACATTTATTACAAAAATTGGTTTTGTAGCAATAGCTACAACAATAATAAAAACAAATATTTTATTTATAATACTATGTTAATAATTTTTAGCTTTGGAATATTAAAAAAAAAAGTTTTTTAACACTTCTTTCGTAACTATTCAGTATATTGGTCTATAACAAATAAAATTTTTCTTCGAACTAATTAATATACATTTATGCCGATAAATACATATTAATTTTTAAAATGTTTCAATTAAAATTTCTATTATACGTAGAAAAATATGATAGAACAGAAGGGGTTTTAAAAATTTTCATCGATTGAAGAATGGCAAATGTGCTATTTACTTTAAGATAACTTATTATAATTACGCTGTTGTTATCTTAATAAACGTTACTACTACTACTACTACTATTATTATTATTATTATTTTTATTATTATTATTATTATTATTATTATTAACACAATCACTATACTTGATATTAATTATGACTTTTATAAATTTTTCGCTATTTATTATTTAAAAATAACTCTCAAAAGACAGAAAAAAGATTAAAAAAATTTAATTCGTTTAAAAATGATAATTACATAAAAAATTATATTCCAAATTTTGAATTTCAATAAAATAATAATTTCAGCTATTATTCTGCCAACTATTTTTTTTTATTAATCTTCATGTATTTGATGATTTCTTATATTTTATAATATATAATTATCTATTTCTAATAGAAAAATAATATTTATAATATATAAAAAATAAAATATAAATTAAAAGTGAAAACAAATTCGTTCGATTTTACAATTCTATATTAATGTTGTTTTGTAAATTTTATTTGCAAAATAAAAATGTTTTGCGTAACGAGAAAGAAATTTTCTAAGTGTAATATTTGAAGGAGTTCGAGGGAGAATGTTTTTTGAAACTATTAGCGCCGTGGTATTTAATTTATCCGCTTCAATCATAACAATAAAATAGTAAGTATGGCTTTTATTATTTTTGTAAAATATTTTATTTCGATTTTACAATGTAATTCTGTGGTAGTCCAAGGTCAAAATAAATGAAAACGATGATGTTATTAGAATGATGAACCGTTATGAGGCATTTTGTTGCGGTATTGTGTGACAAATATCACTGTGTTCTATAGGTTGATTATCCAACCAAATATTGCTCTATTATAAGCTGCTTAACTTCAGTAATTAACGATATATATATATATATATATATATATATATATATATATATATTGTAGTGCAGTTAAAAGTAATGCAGTATTAATTAGTCATATGATAATTTAGTTTATGTAATTTTATTCTTAATGGGATTAATAGAAATATTTATAATTAAGTTTTACCTAAACCCATGAAAAATAATTTTTTTCATTTGTATTTTAACAAAATATTTACTTTAATAAAATAGTGAATATACATAATAATATAATACACTAATAATATCAATCTTAATTTTTTAATTTCATCAACCAGTTTTTATTGAAAAAATTAAGTTATTACATAAAATTTATAAAACTAATTTATTAATAGTACAAGCGCCCACACTCATACTTTCACTAATGAATCCTATACATAATTATTTTATATAGATAATTTTAATAAGTTTATTAAATTAATTTTGTTCAATAGAGTTCCATTTATCAATCTGCATTTTAAATGTGCTTTTAATTCAAAACGTAAATATGTATTTTATCTACTAGTTTGATTTATTTTGATTAAATATCAAATACAACCATGAGCCAATATATTAATTATGTTTAGATTAGTTATGATAATTTGCTCACTGATGGAAAAGATCTTAATGTAGATATTTTTAATTGTACAGGAATGAGTATAATTAAGAGCGATAGCTTTATAATTAAAATTTTGCAGTAAATAAGTATAGAAAAAAAAATGAATTCTGAATCTTTTTAACCATTAATATAATAATTTCATAAATAAAGTAATAGAATAATACAAAGGGATTGAAGATAATTACATATTTTGCAAAATCAGCAAATATATATTTAGTACAATGTAATATTTTTTATTTAAACATTTTAGGTTCAAATTAACTCATATATTTATTGAGTTAAATACATTATTTTCTTAATTTTCTTATAAACAGATATACAAAATTTCCAATCAATTTAATTGAAAAAGTTTTAGATATTACAATTATTAATTTTTTAACAATATGAAGACGAAATGATTATAAACTTATCATTATTTGCGTTTTCCATACGTTTTAAGCATTTATTTTGAATTACTGTTTTATTAAGATAATATGTATATATGCATACTTTCTGTATTATCGACAGAGTTATTTTTCCATATTTTATATTTATTGATATGTGCATCACAATTTTAAAAATATAATATCTTTTAACAAAGGAAACAACAATGATTTATAATAATATTAATATATTATAAAAAATTTGATAAACCTGAAGTCGATAAAGAAGATTTCGGATAGGTTTTGAATTCAATTTCATTTGTTACTAAAAAGATTTTCACATAAATACGAGTGTAATATCTAATTATTGATATTAATAATTTAGCAAATGAATTTGTGAAAAATAGGTTTAAATATTAAATTATTTGATATTAAAATAATTAATGAAAAGAAATATTGGTTGCAAATTTGAATATAAGCAATCACAATGAATGGATTGATTTACCGGCAAGTGGCGACGCATAAAACCGTGGAGAAAATCAACGACAACTTGAGCATTCACGAAAGAGATAAGTATGCGGTGCTTCCTTTCACTCACGGCTAAGTAAAAGTGGTCGAAAATTAAGAGGGCAAGGTAATTATAAGCGCATCGGTACTTCCTTAACATTACGGAAGTTCAAGGATGACGAGGTCAACATTTGAGCATCGCAAATTTTCTAAATTACCGTATAATTTCTCTTGTCTGGCATTGAAATAAAATATCATTACGATTTAGTCATATTACGTAAAATTAATTTTTTATCGTGCATTATAATTTATTATTTTGGTAGATGATATTATTAATTATAAAATATATTATTAACTATAAAATACTATAAAGTACAATTAATTAAAAAAAAACCATTTCAAAATTTTAATCGAATTTATATTTTTAATATTTTCTACTTATACAAAGTGCATAAATTATAAATTATTAATTAAATTATTATATATATAATTATTATAAAATATAAAATAGTTATAAAATAATTAAAATAATTCTACTACTAGAATATATAATATAACAGGATAAAAATAGAAAATATTTATTTTTAATAAGTTTATTAATTAGAATTTGGAGTTAGTTTATCATAAAAGACATTATAAATGTAATAATTTAATAATTTATTAATTTATTTGTTTAATATTTAAACATGCTGAATAAACTGTTGAGCTGCATGATTATTTATTGTAAATATAATTTTTCTTTAATTACTTGATTAATTTTTACGAACAGTTGCAAGAGAAAAAATTGTATTAGTTATTAATTAAATTATTGAACATAAGTCATTATAATAAAACATAAATTCTTTAGTAATTGAATTATAAGTGGTAAATTGATAAGTTGAACAAAAGGAAGCCAAATTTTGTATTAGTTACGATTTATATTTGTTTTTGTTAGTGCTTCTATTGCCAGTAAGAAATTATCATAGTACATAATTTAAGATATTTCCTATATCATCGCTTAAAAGAATAATTGAAAAAAAATTAACTTAACTTAAGTTATTTTTCAATAATTTTAATATTAATTTATTAAATAAGTAATGTGAAAAAAGTTGAATTATTTGGATTTTTCACTTGGATTTTAATAAAATTATTGCGGAATTATTCATAATGATTTGTAATTAATAATTAAAAATCAGTTTAAGATTGAATTTGGAGTATACTTAGATAATAAATGTTACTTATTAATTTTACTTGTAAAATAAAGATATCTATTACTTATTTTTATTTAAAAAATTATATAAGTAATTCATAACTATTTTAAAATATGTTTAGCACATATCTAAATATCTGTGAATAAACTTAAGAAAATATAAAAAACATAAAAATTACTACTCAGAATCGATATATATAAATAAATGGTGCAGCCTAACGTCCTCCTTTTCAGTAAACGCTTTCACCTTTGATATCGGCTCATCGAGACCGGAAGAAATAAACGTTGTTTCCATCATGGAAGATAAATGCATACTTATTTATGCCCAATGGAAAGGAAAGGTAAGAAGAGGAATGGGTATAAAAAATGTCGATATTCTCTTCCTACATATATGTATCCATGTGTAGGAATTAATATGTATTTTTAATAGGATTAATAATAAAAAGAGCGACAGAGAGAAAGAGAGATGAGAGAAAGACAGTGAGAGTAAGAGAGAACGAGAGAGAGAAAGAGAGAGAGAGAGAGAGAGAGAGAGAGAGAGAAGAGAGAAAGAGGACAGTCAGACAAAAGTGAAGACTTTCGATTTTTTACGTCAATATTTTGATGGGATGATATATTGTACAAGATATGCCCATATTAATTTAAAATTTCTAAAGAAAATAAACCTTTGTGCAATACTTAAAATTTAAAATGTCTAATACGTTATACATTAATACACTGTTCAATATATATATATATATATATATATATATATATATTTTTTTTTATTGATACTTTTGTTATAGATGATTTTTGTTTTCCAAATCTTAATATACTATTTTATATAATTATGAAGTATTATTTTCAATGAATTATTGGGATGGATGGTTTTATTACATATCAAAATAATTATAATATGTTATATACAAATGTTTTAAATGTCATTATTTGTTAAATTGTTATTGATTAATTTCATTAAACTTTCAATTAATTGGTAAAGAAACAAAATATTTGACTTTTTTCATGGTATTTAAGAATCGTATGGGTATTCTTCTAAAATAAATGTAACAGATAACTAACTAAATTGAGGTATTATAATATATAATCATTTCCTTTCAAATATTAATAAGAAACATTATTAATAATAATTATTTGTACAATCAAAAATAGTGATTGGGTATATAAAATTTAAATATTTTCTAATAAACTTTTGCATGTAAAACTTAATAATCTATATTAGAATTTTATCAAATACATGTAATATTACATATAAGACACAAGCAAAAAGAATAATAAACAAACGAATGTAATAATAAAGATGAATAAGTATAAAAGTATAAAATGGATGGAGAGAGAGAGAGAGAGAGAGAGAGAGAGAGAGAGAGAGAGAGAGAGTATGGATCTGGGTATTTGACAGAGGTAAAGCTAGTTATCGAGTCATCCATCTTTAGTGGAATGGGCCAAGTGTCACGCGGCGACTCAGGTTATATACACGGTGGGCAGGTTGTATTTAGGTACGAAGCTCGTCTCGCTGAGGAAGTAGCACAGAAGAGAAAGGTATGCACACGGAGATGATCTACATTGGAGCGCCCAGCTTTATCACTCTCTTCACTCTTTCACCAATCGTTATTTCTTCGTGAATAACCTACTCGCCCTTTTCTCTTTTGCTTTATTATAATGTTCTTGTATTGGTGAGTGTCCGTATGGGTTAAAGATTTTTTGGCCTGGAGTGACACGAGGAACTTTTTTCATGTTTCGTAATTCGCAGACTGTAAAATACATTTCATTTCTTTTCAAATAACTTTTCATCTGTCAATAAACGATTGTTGGTACTATTTACTTTTTATGACTTGGACAACTTAAAAGAATCCTTTTGAATTACATGAATATATTTTAATAGTAGTTATATTCAAATTCTGTATATAATTTTTTTCTTTCATGTAATATAAAATTAAATTTTGAAACTGAATAGATACGTTTAAAGTTAACCTGCAAATATTTTGCATCATACATCGCCTAATTATGTTTCTATTAAAAAAATGTATCAATAACTATGATTTAAAAAAATCTCTTTTATTTAATGTTATTCTTCCAGAAATTAAATTAAGAAAACTATCTTTCTATCTAATATCGTTATAAGCAATATATTATTAAACAGATATAATAATAGTTTAATATAGTATACTAGTTAAAATAGTAAATAGATAATGGAAAACATGATTATTAAAAATACATATTAAATTTCATTATTATGCGTAAATATTATATTAATAAATGATTAAAAATTATAAATAATGTGTGTAACATTTATTCATGAAATTTTTTTACTCAATCGTGTTATTTACAGTGAATATAAATACATAAAATATTACTGCACATTTGAAATATTATGATTAAATTTAATTAATTCCATCTATAATAATAAATAACGTCAAATATGAAGGCCAATTTATAAATTTTTCCTGTATGAATCGAAGTATTTTTAATAAAAAATTTGTATAGTTACAAATGAATATATCTAATAATAATAATAATAATTCTAATTCACAGCCAGTTAGTTCATTCTAAGAGATCAATTCTTCTTTATATATATATATATACTAATACAAATATGATAATAACGCATCATTTGATATTATTTTATTAAATTTTTAATATATTTTATATACCGAATATTTTAATATGAGATTAGAATTTTATTTTTTATTTATTTATTTTTTTTAGTCAAAAGATTATTTTCCATAAATAATTTTATAAATATAATAGATTATTTTATAAACCAAATTATGGTCCGGGAATATTATTACTAATTATTGTAATATGCATATCATTCATAATATATCACATATTAAATCTCATTGTTTATCTAATTTATTATATAAATTAGATAAATTAGCCAAATATATTAATTTAATTATAAATTTGAGTAAAATCTAATATTTTATTTTATACTATTAGTCCGAATTCTAATTTGTTTTTTTTTTTTTTTTACAATTACTTTAATAATACACTACGTTAAGATTATAGAGTTGAGTAATTTAAAACTAAAAATGTGTACGAGTTATTAAATTCAATTAGTACTGAGATAAAATAAAGATTAATTTAATATTTTGTCATTTTTGTAATGTTTTGAGTTTCACGTTTGCATAATAATTGAAAAAGATGTAATTTATATTTATATTATAATTTATATTTATATAATTTATACATATATAATGCGATGAAATGCATAATTGTTTAGCGATAAATTAGTTTATGTATTGTAAAAATAAAACTTTGAAGAAATAGTATCGTAGTTTCTATATAAATCAAAGCAATACTTGCTATTCGGATTGTAACTAACGAACAACGTTTAGCTAATTAAGCTCGGCGGTATATTCATTCAAGATTAAAAGACAAATTCATACTTTTCTTCAGATTAATATTCGATATTGTTCAGTCGACAATAATTATGAAAAATGTCTTGAATATGCTGAATAACCAAGGAAATGTCTTTTATGTAGGTATCTAGGAGTACGAAACAAAAAAGGTTCATCGGTGCCTTTCCAACTTCGTAACGCTCTGTAAACGTTCCTGGGCTTTTGTGTCTATCCAATGTCTTTCTCTTAGAACAATCTCTACAGGTCCAACGAAAAATTTAAAGATCTTTCGTTTCGACTTGCAGTTTGAGCGTTTTTATTACCTTAAGCCTATATTCTGAGCTGAAATATAAAGCCAAGTATCGTCGTCTAAGTTTCCATTGTTACTGTTTCGCTTCACGGCAACGCTATGTGTTCATCGCGATCACTCTTAATCCTTGGAATATTCTTCGTTGTGAATTGTCGTAATGTTCATGCTGATGTCAATGATACGATATGGAAAGGTTTTTCAGTGATGTGTATGAGCGATGAAAACAACGAAATCATGAATCTCTCAGTATCTTGTCATGGAGTTAAATTAGTGAGAAAGATTGTTCAGAAATTTCTAGAAGAATTTAAAAAGAAGAGAAATTTGGAAATACTAGACGGAGTTAGTTTGGTAAAGAGCGATATTGAAGATGTGTCTTCTCGAAATGGTAGAGCATTAAATAGATTTGGTCAAATTGGATCGATGGTGAAACTTTTAGAAAATAGGGAACTGAGAATTAAGCTGCCAAGTCTGTTACCAGAGAATTTCGAGTCAGCAATTGAAGAAAGTTTACCATCTACTGAACAAGGTATTTTTGAATTACATCATATTATAATTATTTATTATTATTATTATTATTATTCTTATTATTATTATTATTATTAATATTATTATTATTATTATTATTATTCTTATTATTATTATTATTATTAATATTATTATTATTATTATTATTATTCTTATTATTATTATTATTATTAATATTATTATTATTAATATTTACTTATATTAATTTTAAATATTGTATTATTTCTATTTAATCAATTGGAATATACGAGTCAATTATGCTAAGGAACAATATATATTTAGATAGAGTAATTAAATAATTTATTAACTAATTAAATTTATAATATGCAGAAAATTAAACTTTTATTCGTAAAATGAAAGTATAATTATTATTAGAAAAATGGAATCCCATTTATTGATATTTAAATTATTTTGAAATTACTTTTGAGACGATATTATTTAATTAGTATACTTATATAATGTAATTCTTATAAAAATTGCTTAATTTTATTTCTAATAAAATTATCTTAGTTTGTTCATTACTATCAATATTTTACAATTGTTATAATTTCGTATTATTTTATGATTGTATAATGCATTCAACAAAAATACTGCATATCGTGAATTGAAAAATATGCTTTTAAATTATGTAAAAAAAAAAATTTTTTTTTTTTTAAAATAAAATTTGTATTGATGCAGGAAGAAAGAGTTCAGGAGGATTCGGCGGAGGGAAAAAAGGTGACGGTGGAGTCATGATGATGGCTTTAATGATGGGTAAGTATTATTCTAGGCAAATATAAATTATTTTTCTGTAAATCAAATGTTATTTATTTGAAGCGATAGTATTTATTTAAAAAATAATAGATTATTTAATATAAATATTTGTAATACACATACGTGTTCATATAAATATAAGCGATGGTTGATTTAAAAGATAATTATATTCGTTTTGAGATAATCCTGTATATTAATCACGAAAATATTTGTACACTATCATTAGGTAAAATGATGGCAGCGATGGGTTTTGGAGCTCTTGCCCTTTTGGCTATGAAAGCTCTCATGGTATCTTCTCTTGCTCTTATGCTCTCACTAATTATTGCTGCCAAAAAGCTTGCCAGCGGTAAAGAAGAGGATAGTCATCATGTTGTTTATGCTCAGGAAATTAGTTCATCTCATCATCGACGACGGAGGAGTCCAGATAACATCTTTGATGATTTCAAAATGCAGCCATATCAAGGATATATGATTGTACCGACCGAGCTTCAAAAGTTACGATCATGAAGTAAACATGCATTCGTGTGCTTTCTGTTTTACCGTCGGTCGCATCTTTATTATTTTATATGACCGACTTACGCAATATTATTTGTATAGAGCGACAAACGCTATATGATCTATAGAAGAAAATACTCTTAAATAATTATGAGGCGTAAGAACTTTATTTTCATAAAGTCGAAAGGAAGTCACGATCTGCAGTGAACAAAATTAATCTACATAATTACGATGTATTTCAGCTAAGGTAGGATTCTAGTATTTTTTTTTATACTGTATGTATTCTCATATTTTCATATTCAATCGTAATCCATAATTTATTTTATTTGAATTTTTTCATAATTTATAAATAGGATTAAATTTTAATGTATCAAAAGATTCAAATTTAAAATAAATTGTATTTTATTTTTGTTAAATTAATTAATTTAAATAACAAATAACAAATTTAAATAACAAATAATTAACAAAATAAAAAAATTAAAAAAAATAAATAAATATATATATATATATATATATATATATGAGTCGCATTTAATTTATAGAATTTTTATAAATGTACTTACAGTAGTATAACCATATTTTAGATTTAAAAAAGTAAAACGAACACAAAAATTCAAATTATAAGATTATGTGAACTAATCACAATATTTAAATTGTGTTCAATTATATAGGTAAATGTTTCTAATTATTGTTTTTTCTAAAAATTTAGTAATTTCATTACAATTTAATGGCAATTAATTATTTATGTAAGTAAAATAAGATTACAGTATTGCCTCAAGACTGAGTAAAATGAACAAAAATGACTAATAACTAGTAAGTCGATAATTTATTATAAAATCATTATAAAAAACGTGACATTTAAACATCATTTATTATATTTGAAATTATGAAAAGAAGATAAATATATTTCAGATTTTTATTAAAATTCGAATTTTATAATTATATTATATTAATATTTTTATAAAATAATATTATTTTATCATTGTTCTTTTTTTTTTTATAGTTTTTATCTTTTATATGTTATGCAGAATTTCACATTAATTTATTACGTGAAAAATAAAATTATTATAAATTGTAAAATATGAGCTTGAAGTAATTTATATAAGCGTCTAAATAAAAATATTATGCATATAAATTAATATATAATTGGAATAAATTATTGAAAAGAAAATGAGTAATACTCAAATTTTTAAGTGACAGTGACATTGACAGTGACATAGCGAAAGTGACAGTGACAAACCAGCGAAATGAAAGAATGTAAAAAGCAGTTTCAGAATGATTAAGAATAAAAAAAATTAATCGATTTGTAATAATAAAGTAAAATTATTATGATAGAACTTGATGATAAAGTTTTCAAATAAAAAATATATTATTGTTAGTGTTATAAATAATATTATAGTGGCCAGATTATTGTTCCTTTATTCAATTTTCTCTTAAAAATTGTATTTTTAATTTCTTAATTTAATTTAATTTTTTTATAAATCGACAAATTTCGTTATTGTTTAATAATAGTCTTTAATATACGTAATATTACAAAGTATAAGCTATTTATATTTTATGTTTTAGCATTACTTCGAATAGAAATATCGAACGATTTTATAATTAGTAAAGAAAAATATATATTGAAAAATGTAATTCAATTCATATCGTCCATAAATATGAATTTATAATTATTAAATTTTTTAAGCGATGTTTTTAAATGTACTGAATTGTTAAAAAGCCTAGGTTGAAAGAATTTCAATTATGTGAATTCAAACAATTTTAATTTTAGATCAATAATATTATAGAATCATTTCATATAATAATTGAATTGATTAAATACAAAAATGAAAAAAAAAAAAAAAACGAAAAAATAGAAATTTGAGTTGCTTGATTTATCTTAAGAGAAAAATGTCAGATCACGAAGATAGCGGATATACTGACGGTAAAGTTACCTATGTGAGTTAGCTCGTTGAATCGGAAGGCGTGAAAGAGGAATGGATCGTCCAGCAGAAGAAAGTGTGCCAAGCAATCTGATGCAAACGCGCATTTTTACGTCTGAATGAGCGAGAGCGCGCTCATACATCCCTCCTATACAGAACAACTTTAGATGTTATTATCGTACACTGGGTCACATAGATATGCCTTTCTACATAAATTAATATAACTAATTAACATGATTTTAATTTTAATATCGAAATTTATGACGAAGAACGAAGTGATAGATACGTCTATAAAATTAACCTCTTATAATTTTATCCGTTATTATAAGATGTGAAATTAATTTTAGTTTACTCGAAACATTCCAATGTTTAATAAAATTGACTGTAGAAGACAACATGTTTTATTGAATAGCCAAGCTATTATAGAATTAAGTAAAAAACTTTGTTAAAATATTTTACAAATTAATGACGAATGAAGTTGTAATTTGTAAAAGTTATTTTAAATAAACTGCAATGAACAAAATAATTTTAATTTAAATGTAGTGAACAAATATTTTTCATCAATTTTCTATTTTTATTAAATAAATCAAATTCTGTAATAATATATACTACATATCATACTTGTATAGAACAACTTCCAAACTTATTGGGTTAAATGATTCATAAATTTTATATTATTATATTAATCCGTTTTAGTATTCAAAAATACGTTAGTTCCTTGTAGTACGTTAAAACACAAATATAATATGAAAGTTTAGATTTCGAAATTTTTGAAGGGTATTATATAAGCCACGTAGAATAAAAATATATTTTTTAAGTATCTAATATAATAATTATTAAATTAAAGTGATTTTAATATATTTTTTTTTTATATAGTAATTTAGAGATTAATTGGTTTTGATTAACAAATTATTAATTTATATAAAGTATACGATAATGTTATTCAATAAGAGACATTTGAATCTGCTTGAGGAAATGTATATTTTTATAATATTGACAGTTCTAATAATAGTGATATTATATTAATTATATAAAATATTTTTATGTAATATTTCATCAACATTAGTCAATGTAAACACAAAACAATTAAATTTATTTTTTTTTTATTAAAACCAATATTTTCCTTACAGTCAATTTTTTTTTTTTTTTTTTTTTTTTTTTTTTGTATACAAGTAATTATTAAAACTTCATTAATGTTTTGTAGAAGCTTCTATCACCGAAAATAGAGTGAATTAATAGCTTATAATAGATCTGGTATAAAATAAAGACTCTTATCAACGTATATTATTAGTATTTGTTCGAAAAAAAAAAAAAAAAAAAAAAAAAAAAAAAAAAAAAAAAAAAAAAAAAAAAAAACAAGAGAAGATAAAATCCGTAAGATGATTATGTTTTATTTAAACGTATGTTTAAATTTACCGTACTAATGAAAAACTACATAAACGCAAATTATTATCAAATATTTGACTTGAAATATCTTATAATGCTAGAAATATGCTTTTGTGCACATTGTCGATAATCTGCTCTAAATATGCTCTAAAAGTTGAAGATTTAAAATATTATATTTTTATTGTATTTTCAATAATATATCCAAGTCTTGCATATACTTTTAACATTAAAATGATAATCATAAAAAAAATTTCCTTTAAAACTATTTGCGCTTGTTGGAAGTGTGGAGCTAGTAATTAATAGTACATCCATCTCTTGCGAGAGTGCAGGAGTGAAAACACGTCGGTGTCAGTTTCTCACTGTATGGTTCGATCCTACCACCGTTGCCAACGACCCTTTCGACTTCCACATCGTGGTCAGGAGTAGGGATTAAGGTAATCAGTGGGAAGCGGGAGAGGACCGGTAGCAAAGAAAGAGAAAGAGAAAAAAAGGCCCTGACCGAGGAGAGAGACCGAGACCCACTGACACAAATTCCGCGCGGTGCTTCCTTTTTTACATTTCGAATACCATAAAATGCGTTGAGCCTGGTTTGTTCGCGCACAGACGGCAGCGGCGCTTCTGTACACGCGGACGTTATTCAGGCGCGCAGGCGCGTTTAAGTGCATTTTAAAAACTAACTTGATACGTTACTTCCCTGAGGACAAATTGCCTCCGCTGTCCGGATTATGGTTAATAGCCAAGCATTATTCATTTTCTTCGTCTTCTCACAATTTTATCTTACGTTCGGCTTTTGGGCCGAGTTCAGTTTTCTGAGCTGGAGGGCTTCGAGATTTTTCATGGGAAGAGATGCGTTCTTGATTATGAGTGAGCTCATCGCTTTCTTTTCGCGGGAACCAAAAGTTTATAAATTATGCGCTCGTTTTAGTTCATGGTAAAATTCTTGTTAATTTGCTATTTCATTTGGTAAAAAATAAGAAACCATATATTGATTATTTATTCAAGTTTTACTATATATTATCAATTTATTAAATTTTATTCGGAAAATTTTTTATATTTAGTTATATTTAATCAGTTTCTCCAAGTTAATCAATATATAAAATATTTTTCTATAAGTATCTCTATTTGTATCTTCTTTTGATATGGCATATCATATGCATTTTACGTAAAACAGAAATTATGAAACTTTAATAATAAAAACATTACAATTTTTAGAGCAGATTTAACAATAATGTATAAAATTTTAGAAAATTGCCATTACCAGATACTTTTCATAATAATTAAGAATAAACATTTTTTATAAATAAAATATGTTTGAATAAAAACTACTTCATTAATTTGAATAAAAACTACTAAAGATATGTCACGAAATTCATCATTCATTCAATAATAAATAGCACTAGTATAGAACTATTACAACAAAAGTTCCTATTTTATTAATTTCTAAATGCACGTGTTTTTTATTTTAAAACATGTTTATCATTAATTAGTTATTTAAACAAATTAAATGTAACTTCTATATTGACTAATGAAAATTATTGCTTTAATATTGAAGCTTATGTGTATATATAAAATAATAATAATAAATTAATATGTAAGATTAAAACTATGATTTATTTTTTAAAATCTTATAATAATTTTAATATTTTCGACAAAAATCATCATAAGAAGAAATCATTTAATATATGAATAAAAAATATTTAAAAACTAAATCTGTGAACTAAAAAGAAATATAAATAGATCTTTATAGGTCTAAATGATGATGAATCAAAGTTATGTTAATAATATGTAGACAATAATTAATTCAAATTTAAATAGAGCTGTAAGAATGATTGAAATCATAATTCTATTCTAACTAATCACTTCCTAATTAAAAATAGAAATTATTAAATAATGTA